ATTTCAATAATTTCAGGTATTTCAGGAATAAATAATTTTTCACCTTGTGATTCAATATTATCAACACCACGTTGATTAGTTTTAGATTTATAAAGAATTACTTCAAATCCTTTATATAAATCATTTTTTCGTGAAAAACTATTATATTGTAAATTAAAGTGTTCACCACCACGTAATCCTAATAGGATTGCATTAAAAAAAATACCCAATATAATAAACCAGTTGGAGTATTCCCAGTCATAATTGGATGATTCATAATATGTAAAATTTCCTCTTCAGTAAAACCTGTACTTCCAGTACATTCTGCAAGACCTTAATTAGCTAGATTTTTTACTTACCATTAAAAACTTGTCATAGCTTATAATATACTTTTTTGTCTAAAATATTGATTGGCTTAGGAAGTGTTGATTTTTCATTCAAATGTTGATTTAAAGCATGGAGACAATTATTAACTGAGAAAGTATGATACTCAGTTCTATCTTGCTTTTTTATTGAATGAATAAAGCAACATAATTGATCTTCTAACTCTTCTTTTGTAGTTATTTCTTCAATGAGGCCTTGATATTTTACATCTGAACGAAATTTTTCTAAGGCTCGAACCCATGTTGATGTTGAATAGCTGGTATTTTTACTATGATTATTAATGATAAGTTTGTTAAAGTCCTCTTCTGTAGGTTTCTCATAAATAAAATTTGTCATAAAATATAAATCGTTTTAATATATTATTAAAATTTATAAAGAAAAATCTAAAAAATTATTTTACTATTTTTTTGTGGTTCTTAAAAGGTGGTTCCATTTTTTTTAAAAAAATTTAGCTTGAAATAAACGAAAAGGAAGAAAATGATAAATAAAATAACTAAAAAAATGATGTATAAGTAATAAAATAAATTATACTTTCCTTACATTATAGTATTTAAGTAAATATCATAAAATTACACAATAACTTATAATTATAATGCCATGTAAAATTAGCATTTTCAGTTTCCGGGGTTTTATCGTTTATTAATAAAAATAATAAAAAAATTTTACACGTAATCGAGATTTAAATCCAAATCACGCTCCTCAAAATTTCTACCAAAACCATTTAGTTATACTACATGATTGCAAATTTTCGTTTTCTAAACGAAAATGAATTTGATGATTAGAACCCTTCGATATTCTCCCCAATTCTGTATCATTTTGTAAAAAAAAAGAGAATTCTTTAAATGGTAAAACCAATATGAGGACACGTGAAATAAAAAAAAATAATGAAAATTCGCGATGCATATGTAATGCAAAATTATCGTCTAAAAATGCGTTTTTATGAATCCAATTCTTATAATATGAAATAATTTTCTACTATACTATTTCCTTCGAATATGATTTTAAAATATGAAATAAAACTGCAAAAAAATTCAGTTGAACCTAAAAAATATGTCAATGTTAGTTCAGATGATTAGAACGAATGTATGATAAAAGTTGAAGACAACTTATGAAAATAAAATCTGTTAAAATGTTACCTAAATTCAAAAATCATCAATAGAAAAATTGATAGCAGAGTTCTTATTTTGATACTCGAAAAATATGAGGATGACTTTGGGTCCTTACAAATATTTCCAGGTTGTCTTTTGTCTAGCTAGCTATATATAATTGATCTGCTGTAAATCGATTAATTTAGTAAAATCAAATACTTTTTTTTTTGATGCTACTAATAGTAAATCAACTCAGATATGAAAATATTTTAGAATAAATTCTTCCTTGTGATAATGTGTTCAGACTATAATACCGCTTCTAAAAGAAATGCCCGTGTGCTATAAGAATTAAAGCACTTGATTTTGTAGACTCTTCTATACTTCGTCAATGTATCTCCATAGCCTAGGAATTTAAATTCAATATTGACAAGGACTGTGAATTATTAGGAATTAGCTCTATCAAATGTCTAGACAGCTTCATCGAAACGTTTCAAATTGCTGAGACAATATCTGAACAAGTAATTTAGTCTTGCAAATATCTGATAATTTGCAAGGCCCTCTTATATGCGAGCTAAACCATAAAGAACCGATATTGGTGATTACTCGATGCTCTTGCATCGGAACTTCCTTTGCCACCAAAAAAATAAGATTATGAGAATTAATCTGTGAAATTTCGTTGAATTCTCAATAAATGCTCACGAGTAATTTAAACATTCACAACGCTCTATTGTGACAAAAATACTATTTTTAAAACACAAAATATAATTCAGGAGAATCATACTGTACTATATTTCATGTCTCTTGCAGTTTCGAGTTGGTAACAATCAATTACATTGAACTATCAATATAAATTAGGAATAAAAAAAATTACTTGACAAGGTTGCGCCTAAATTTTCTTAAGAATACAGAATTTGAACATAGAATTTCCACAACATATGTCAATTTGACAATAATATTACATCTATCATTTGGAAGGTTTTCTTAATCCTATAATCACTTTATTTTTTATCAAGTTCTTTATGCCTTCATTCTTCAGAGCAGTACTTTGAAAATCCGGTTTCCTATCATTACTTTCCACAGCTTTTAGTTATCAGCTTCAATATTGGAGACAATCTCAAATGTGAGTGTAACGTTCAACAATATTTTGTAAAGTTAACCTATAATTAATAAAAGCTAAATACATATATTTATATTTTAATTTTAAATAGATACTTTCCTATGATCAGTCCAGTGATTTGTGGTTTATAGGTACAGTGTTCAATTATATTTTGACGACCTTTCTTAAACATAATTTTATAAACTCCTATGTTTCAAAGTATTAGAAAATGGTACTCTTGAGATTTTCAGGTGTTAGCAATATTTGTTGAGTATAAACAATTTATCGAATGTCACTACATTAAGTTTGCGGAGATAGCCTTAATCCCACTATGGCAAAAGTCGAAAACATTTGGTTACAATGATTTCGATGGGTTTGATGATACGTTTCAACGGTCTCGACATGTTTCGATTTAGTTACTTGTCGAAACCTCTGGGTTTCCGGCAACCTTACAACATATTATATATATTGTAATCTGATTTCCAAAGAAAAATAATATCTTGGTCATACATCATGGATTACTAATTTAATCTGCTGCATACTCTGGCCTTATGGTTTTCAGTTAACATTTTCAAGGAATTTAAACGATTTTGATCTATCTTTGAGATCCTTGTTAATGACAACTAACGAGATCCACCTGGCCATAAAGATGACGATTGATTCATTTCGTGAAGAACCATTTCAATTATTCATTTGAATTATTGCATCATTTCCATGAGAAACTTGATTCTCTACTATATGACATATAATAAGGCTTGATCATCAATGCGATGTATAACACAGGACATAGTTCCAATATGATTTTTTTTGAACTTGTATATTATCAAGATTAGCAAAGTAGTTTAACTTGTAGGTTCAATTTGTTGTACAGAAGAAGCATTTTGTACTACATATTCCTCAGCATGCAATTGTCTTTGCTTCGATTCGGTGGACCAATGAATGAACTAATATTAATTCTAGCAATCAGAAATAGCCTCTTTATGATTAACAGGTAGAATTTTTAATTATCTAAGCGAGGTTACCACCATTAGAATCGATCATCTAAATGATAACTCCATGAAAGTTTGGGCATATGAATTATTGTGCTTGAATATCGGCTTAGTTAGTTTCATTGCATCCGAATTGTCAATAATAAACCCCTTCGATGGCGAGAATAGTTCCTTGAATGTCCATAGTTATAAATTGTAATAATGAGGGAATGGTCAAATATATTGACATCGAGTTCACTTGATAAAGTTCATTGAAAGATAATTTTATTAATTAAATTTCATTTACTTTGTGAGAAGCTTTATGGTGTCGCGTATTTATATTCAGTGGTTCTAATCTAATGATAACTCCTAATCTGAAGAAAAAGATTATGATGAGGAAGGTAGATGACAACTAATATTGTATTCCAGTCAAACAACAAATTCTTTGTGAGGAAACTCATCATTTTATATACTTTGAGCAAGGCCAATAAGAATACGTCTGATATTATACGTCATAAAAGTATAAAAGCAAATTTGTCATTTAACATTTAACGTTAATTAATAATGGCTTCAATAATTGATATTTCCAACTCTTAAATACTAATTTGAATGTAATGATATTATTTTCTTTAAATGTTATTAATTAATTAATAAAAATATGTGCATATTGGATATATCCATTCTATTCTTGGTCGGGGGATAGAACGATCGCTCGAAGACATGTATAGGTCCATATATCAAACTTAACAACGTTTTAAATTTTAAATTATAGTTGCGGGGCAAAACCCTAAACCCATTTTGGCAAAAGTCGAAACTTTTCAGAAATTATTTCGACAGTTTCGAT